TTCATCTCTTTTTAAGCATGTTTCACATTTATACTCACTAGTTTTGTAATCTCTAGTACAGAATATGCATTTTAAGTCTCTGAAACAAGAGACTGCAAAGTGTTCATATCTTTGACAGTTTGAACACTGTATTTGAGCTTTGAGACTCATTCTTGAGTCTTTGTATTCATGAACTCTCATTTTCAAATCTGCTACTCTTACTTTAGAGATTCTTGATTATTCAAGTATCTTTATATATACTAGAATAGAGGCATTTCTTCTACTCTGTGTGAACTTAATTGAATTAAGTTATACAGACTCTTTTCTCAGTTGAATAGAGTTGTATTCTTCTAATTCATTTTTGAGAAGTAGCATTTTTTCCTCACAGTCAAAGATTTCAACTGAAATATTATAAAGAATGACTTTGTCTCACTTTTCATCTCTCTTAGATAGAATTATTGTGTTTAACAAAGATTCTACTGCTGATTTTCAGAGATTCTCATTCTGAATAAGAAATTCTGTACTGAATTCAGACATTGTAGTCAGAATAATGAAGTTTTTAAAGAAGAATGACTCAATTAAAGCTATAACTGATTTTTGAACTTCAATATTAGTCATTAACTGAGAAAAGAACTGCTGATTGATTTCATTTCTAATTCTGAAAATGAGATTTGAGTTTAGCTTGTTTCTCTTCAAGATGTTCTGATTTGAGACTTTGAGAATAAGTCTTCTATTTCTGAAGATTTGAAGATTTTTCTCTTTTTGTATTTTTTTCTTCACTTTTCTATCAATAGAAGTATGAGCAGTATTCTTCTTAGTTTTCTCAGGATTTTGAGCAGGTTTTGAGACAGTAGATTTAGAGACAGCAGGTTTAGAGATGGCAGATTTAGCTGTTTGAGTATATGTTTTCTTCTGATTTAAAGAAGAAGAAGAAGAAGAAGTAGAAAAAGAAAAAGAGCAAAATAAAGAGTCAGTGATTATACTAGGAATTTTCAATGTTTTTAGAACTGTGTTTGAAATTCCAAGTTTGAACTTGATCATCTTCTGTAGTTATCTAGCCTGAGCATGAAGAATTAACAGAACTTCTTCATTCATCTCACTCAGACACTGCTTTTCAAGAATCTTGCTTGCTTTTTCCAGTTTCTGTATTTCAAGAACTTGTTGTTTTTCTATTTCTTCTTTCTTTCTTCTCTTCAGAATTTCAATCTCAGGAATAGTATTTGAGAAAGCATCTTTTTCCACATCAACTGAGTGTATTTTTAAACTCATTGTTCTCACTCAATGAAAAGTTGATCAGACTGTTTCAATTGAGATATTTCTTAAACTCTTTTTGAATTGAAAAGTTGATCAGACTGTTTCAAAGAAAGAATAGAAGACTTTTGTGTATAAAACACCTGATTTTTTTCACACTAGTTCAGTAACTAGGTTAGATTTTTAAAGAGAATCTAATAAACTAAAATTGATTTTTGAGATAAATCAATAAAAGTAAAATAAGATTAACTTAAAAATAAGTTAAATAATTATATAGATAATTAGTGAAATACTGAAAAGAGATCTGCTGAACTGAGAAATAAATTAATTATTAAAAATAATAACTGCAGCTATTTTCTTAATTAAGTTAAAAATAAAGTTAATAAGAGATATTCTCTATAATATCTGATAATATGATAAGCTCTTTAAATGACAGTTTTCTTTTTACAGATCACTATTACTAAAGATATATCAGAACTATAAAATTCACAGTGATAAACTTAATCTTAGATAATATATCTATTTTAATAGACTATTCACAGATCTGAGAGACTACTATTAATTATATAAAGTATTAGTATATCTAAGATGATAAGAGAAGTTCAGACTTATTTATGATAAAATCTATAACTGTAGAAGAATCTGATTTTACTATATATATCTGTTTATAGTTCTACACAGTGTAAAGAGATAATCAGTGATAGAAAAGATATAATAAGAGAAGATTATAATACCTGAGTTCTCTGAGTATAGTATTGAAGACAGATAGCTGTAGAAGTAGTATAACACTGTAAAGAAATATATTAATTAAAAGACTGATTTTATAAGCAGTGAACACAGGCTTTTAATATATTATTCATTCTTGAGAATCTATAAAAGATAATTAATCAGATATATTATCTATTCAAGAATCTGTATAAAGTAGATAATTAATCAGATGTATTATCTATTCAAGAATCTGTTTAAAGTAGATAGTTAATAAGATGTATAATCTAATCAAGAATCTGTACAGAGTAGATAATTGATAAGATGAAGATGAACATGTTATAAGCACACAGAGACACAGAAGTCATAGTATAATATCATGAAATTATACTTCACTTAATTCTACATCAATCAGTGAGCTGTATTCATGCCAAGAACCTTAAAAAGAAAATTCTTCACTTTTAATGACCAGGGTTTTCATCATATATTTGCTTCGCTTCGCTCCACAAATAATAAATATAAATTATAATTAAAAGTAATATAATAATTATAAAGTTTGATTCTGATCTCAGACACAGTCACACAGTCAGTTTACAGTCTATTTAAGATTAATGTAATGAACAAAAACTGTAATCAGAAGTAATGTCTTCAGACAATATAATAACTGTAAAGTTTGATTCTCACCTCAGACACACTCACACAGCTAGTCTAGTCTCAATCTCTTCTTACTCTTCTTCTTGAAATCAGAAGAAAATATACTCAAGCAGCAGAATCTGCTGTTCAAAGAACTGCTCAAAAACCCGAATAAATTTATACTGAAAGAACTGCTTATCTTTCTTCTTCTTCAAAAAAAAAAAAAAAAAGAGAAAAAACTGTAAAGAGAAAAATTCACACTTTTTCTTAAATACGAATATTCTCTAATCTATTATATATATTTCTTAGTGATGGTTTCTTATATATAAAGCTGGGAAACTACATGCGCTGTTAATATGCACGGAGAACATCAAAAACTCCGTTGAAACAACCCCAAAAGAAATCTGCCAGTCTGCCAGAGACAGCGGAAAAACCCGACAAATAACCGAGAGAATCAAAACATCTTATTCGGATCCTCCTTCACCTCCTCGCGAATCATGTCGACAGTCGACATCATGCCCTCAGCCGGTGACCGGCCCTGGCCAGTCGAAGATGGGTCCCCAAGGAAGGCCTCGCATAGCAACGCAGAAGCAACGCTCACATTCAAGCTATCAACCCCCGCTCGATCTTCTGCGCTGCTCAAGGTGATAGCACCTGGTATGACCACAGCACCATCTGCTTGCTGTCGTACGCTTCTCTGCAAGCCCTGGTCTTCGCTGCCAAGCATCAGGATGCAAGGCGCTTCGCTAAGTTTAGTACTTACGTCCCGCCGACTGAGGATTTGCTCGTTTGATGTGCCGAATGTCTGCTGGGACGCACTAGCCGCAGCGGGAGCCTCAGCTGCGAAAATTTTCCAGCCGTTCATGCGCGTGTTTTTCAGGAAGTTGGTGGGGTTGGTGGTTGTTAGGATGGGGATGTTTTCCGCGGCGCCTGCGGAGGCCTTTATGACCACAGCGGATATCGGGGCGCTATTTCGGGTGGATACAATGATAGAGTCGACGCCGAAATAGTAAGCGCTTCGGATAATGGCGCCTACGTTTCCTTCGTCTCGAATTCCGTCCAGTAGGAGGGCAAAGGGATATCGGGACGGTTTGAAAACATTCTCCGTCAAGGAACAGTCCTCATCCTTGTACGCCCATCGAGGAATGCGTCCACTTGTGCCATTGACTTCCGCCTCCTCCGCCGATTGTTGACAAACTGACGCATTAAAATGCGTATCTGAGAGTGATGCGACCGGAAGGAGGCTGTCAACTGGCAATTTGGGTAGTTGAGATGCTTCTAGGATACACCCGTTATGCGGCCTTCCGCCGCTCATTTTGTCTAATAGCTTGGGCCAATTGCCAGCAACCTGCTTGACGTGGACACCAGCAGCCAGGCCAAATTTAGTTATTGTATCCAGCATTGGATCCCGAGGCTGTTTCCTTCCCAATCGGAGTGAGACCTTATCGGGCGCATCGTAAATGTAGAGCTTGTACAATTTGCGGCGGCCGCATCGCAGAGCAGCGAGCACGGCCGATGCGCCGTAGATAAATTCGGAAGCAGCCGTTGTATAAGGGATGGCGCGAGGGGCTGTAATGGAAACTTGGGGTCGGGTATGAGGAGGTCTTTCCAGGTTAAATTCAGTTTGTTCTGAGCGTGCAGCGAGCTTTTCTGCATTCCGCTCATGACGGTTTTTTCGGCGGGAGGAGTTAGATTCATTGCTAGACAACCAGTCACCGCTTCGATCTTCATCTCTTCTTTGAAAATCGCGTCGGTCCCAACTTGGCCTATCGTTGGCTATGCGAAAATTGGGTGTACTGTAACCCCCTGCTTCGGTCTCTGAGCTTGGCCGTACGCAGCGGTTATCAGAACCAAAGAAGTTGGATTCGTTGGGTCTCAGTCTATCGTTTGGCGTTCGAAAATTTCCTCGGTTGCCATTGCCCCTACCATACTGGATGTCCCCGCCCTCTCTGTCACCTCTATGGTCCCTGTTTTCGCTTCCTCTTCCTCTTCCCCCTCCTCCTTCTCTCCCTCTGCCTTCTCTTCCTCCGCCGTCCGGTCTCCCGCCTCTGCCACCTCTGCCCCTACTCCCTCCGCTCTCCCTGTTCTCTCTGTCTGTATGAGAATCGCGCGAGCTGTATATTCCTTTCTGGATGGCCGAGCTTATGGAAGCATTTCTTACTCCTGTTGCGAAGTTAAGTTCAGTCAATCCGGCAAAGCATAGTCGATGCGATTTCAGCAGTGCACTGCAATGGCGGTTAAGCATAATTTAAATATATACCAACAGGGCTGATAATTGGGCTCAATAAACACCCAAATGAGATATATGTCTTCTATCCCAATGTAACGGTGGTCTATCAAAAAATAATTGAATTGAAGGTTTGATGTCTCTTGCAGTACCTCCTGTCGCCAATAATTTTTTTTATATCGGACTTTTATTGTTCCAGCAGCAAGTTTCTCTGGTTCGACCCGATCAGGTTTAGTGGCCATCCCTGTCACGACGCGGGCGTTCAGCCACTTTCTGCAATTTGTCTGGCCATAACACGACCTCGCGACGACAAACAGTGACACATATGAGTGCAGGACCAATTTCGATTCTGGGCTGCATCAGGTGTTGACCTTGCAAACCCACATGTGAGGGAAACAACTCATCCCCTTGTTGCGCTCTGATTCCCTGTAACCATCGCACCTATGGACAACCAGAATGTCCCGTACTATAGCTCGGAGGAGGATCCATCGATGGCAGCCAATATCCTGAGCCAATTCACCGCAGTTAATGCCAACCGAAGCTCCCAAGCATCTGACCTCAAAGCTAGGAAGCAGATAATTCAAATCATCCCACCAACAATAGATAATGAGGATGACTACGCTTTTTTGCCTGGCTCATTAAAGGTTGAAGAAATCATTGACAAAACGAACGACTCCTATCCGCCAAAATATTCCACGAGACTCGCAAGTGGGGATACAGTTAATGTGAGAACCCTCACTGCCCATTTCTTCCTTTTATGTTCACGTTCTCCTTCTCACTACCTGTATATCTCAGCTGTCTGCCAACTTGATCCGAACACTTCGCAACGGACGGAATGCTCTCTCCCAATACAGTCAGCTTGGTCCGAGACCTCCAACGCTCAGTGATACCTCAGAAGAAGGCACAGTAGGTCTTCGCCGTCGCCCAAGTAGAACGCGACACCAGAAACATAGTTTATATGTGAACTCCACAACCCTCAGTTTGTCTTCAGATGACGATCCTCTCTCGAAACCATCCACAAAAACTAGTCATGGGGCGAGGACCACGAGAAGACGCTCCTCACGTATACACCAAACCACAGCCCCTAAGGACTCCGAGGACGAAACTGATGAATCAGCAGTCAATGGGCGGCGGAGAAGGCGGAGACGACTACCTATGCGACCTTCCAGACCAGATACTGACGATGAATCGATGGAGTCCTCATCTTCAGAACCGCCCGGAAGACGTGGACAGCGAACCAGACGTCCTAGACGGCTCCCCAGGTCTTACAATTTTGACAAACCCCAAATCGGCGTGCGGTCCTCACAGAGAGTCAAGTCGTTAAAATGCATGACAGAACGCCTAGAAGATGATATTTCAGAAGCAGAAGATGACATACCCCAGGTGAAATATTCAGCCACAAAGGAATTCTTCAGGAAGCTTTCAAAGGACGACCCTTTTCGAACCCGCCATCGACATCTGTGCAACGCTTGTCTCTCTGTTGATTATGAAAAGGGTCCTCTCATATTCTGCCAAGGATGCACTACATCATATCACCAGAAATGTCTTGGTCCTCGCAACCAAAGGGAGCACTTAGTAACTAAGGTTGGGGAAGCAGATTTTGTTCTGCAGTGCCGACGCTGTTTAGGCTCTGCCCACACAAAAGACATCCTTGCTCCTCACCAGGGTGCTTGTGCTCAATGCCATCAACTCGGCCCACTGTCAAAACCGTTAAGACAACGAATGACGGCCCGTGAGGAGCAGAAACTAAGGGAAGAGAACGGTGGTTCCGATCCCATAACCAATGTTGACATTCCCTTGTATAATGTGGATTCTATCCTGTTTCGGTGTGCTTCATGCGAGCGTGCTTGGCATATGAATCATCTCCCTCCTAGAGGTGAAAATCGAAATCCCTCCCACAGCCTGGAAGAGAGTGATGGTGCAGATGACAGCGAGCAAAGGTTTAGAAAATATTCCAGGCGGTTTACCTGTGAGGACTGCGCCAGTATGCCTGGTGATATAGAAACTCTTGTTGCTTGGCGCCCAGTTGACCTTAACAGCTTCATTCCTGGATATACTTCAGATATGATGGAGGAAATTGCGAAGGAGTATTTAATAAAATGGCGAAAAAAGTCTTACTTCCAAACGTCATGGATGCCTGGCCCGTGGGTTTGGGCCAAGGCCGCCCCTGCCACCCGGAAAGCATTCAGTAAATCTTCAAAATCCTTGAAGCCGATAATATCAAAAGAAGACGCTATCCCGGAAGAGTTTTTACGTGTTGACATAATTTTTGACTTGGAATACTCGAATGTGGTCAGCAACTCATCACTCGAAATTGATATGGCCCGCGTCAAAGAGGTATCCAAGATCTATGTCAAGTATAAGGGCCTACCATATGAGGACGCTGTGTGGGAAACAATTCCATCGCCTAAAGAGACTGAGCGCTGGCATGATTATCAGATGGCATACCAAAATTGGGTTGCTGGGAAATACGTGCGTGTGCCAAAAAGTCACATATTGAAGAAAAATTTAGCTACCGCAAGGTCCAAAGATTTTGCTACACAGCTGGTTAAAAAAACCCAGCCTCCCTTGCTAACAGGTGGCCAAATCATGGATTACCAAAAGGATGGCTTGAACTGGCTCTACTACATGTGGTACAAAGAACAAAATGCCATCCTTGCTGATGAGATGGGGTTGGGGAAAACAATTCAAGTAATTGCGCTTCTTGCGACCCTAGTTCACGACCACAGATGTTGGCCTTTTCTTGTTGTCGTTCCTAATTCTACATGCCCTAATTGGCGTCGGGAAATAAAGGTCTGGGCACCCAAGCTACGGGTTGTGACATATTACGGCTCCTCGGCGGCGAGGAAAATCGCACATGATTATGAAATGTTTCCGGATGGCTCTTCAGATCTTCGATGTCATATCGTTGTAACTTCGTACGAGTCAATGATAGATGAGACGGCGAGACGACTGTTTTCGAACATCCCCTGGGCTGGATTAGTTGTTGATGAAGGTCAGCGCTTGAAGAACGACAAAAATCTGTTGTACGAAGCTTTGACGCGCATCAACTTCCCGTTCAAAATACTTCTTACCGGCACACCTCTACAGAATAATATTCGCGAGTTATTCAATATCATCCAATTTTGCGACCCGTCTAAGAATGCTGAGGCCCTCGAGCAGCAATATGGGGGAGATTTTACAAAAGAGACGCTTACTGAACTACATGACATGATCCGTCCCTACTTTCTTCGCCGAACAAAAGCTCAGGTTCTGACATTTTTACCACCAATGGCACAGATCATTCTACCAGTTACAATGAGTGTTGTGCAGAAGAAGCTTTATAAATCGATTTTAGCCAAGAACCCACAACTGATTCAGTCGATTTTCAAGAAAACCCCAGGCGGTACACTGAAACGGACGGAACATCACAATCTGAACAACATTTTGATGCAGCTTCGGAAATGTTTATGCCATCCCTTTGTCTACTCTAAAGCCATTGAAGAGCGGGCTATCAGTGCGGCTTTGTCCCACCGAAATTTGGTGGAAGCTTCATCGAAACTTCAATTGTTGGAAATGCTCTTGCCTAAGCTACAAGAAAGGGGCCATCGCGTATTAATATTTAGTCAATTTCTGGATAACCTGGATGTGGTTGAAGATTTTCTCGACGGCCTGGGTCTGCTACACCGCCGCCTTGATGGTTCTATGTCGTCTCTCCAAAAACAGAAGCAGATTGATGATTTTAACGCTCCCGATTCACCATACTTTGCTTTCTTGCTATCTACTCGGTCTGGAGGTGTTGGGATTAATCTGGCAACTGCGGACACGGTTATCATTATGGACCCTGATTTTAACCCACATCAGGACATTCAAGCTCTGTCGAGAGCGCATCGAATCGGTCAACGAAAGAAAGTCCTCGTTTTCCAATTGGTGACCAAGGGATCCGCGGAAGAGAAAATTATGCAAATCGGCAAAAAGAAGATGGCTCTAGACCAGGTCTTAATTGAGCATATGGACGCGGAGGATGACACAGAAGTTGATTTGGAGGCCATCCTTCGCCACGGAGCAGATGCCCTCTTTGACGATGCTACCACGGACGATATTCACTATGATAACGAGTCAATTGAAAAGCTCCTTGACCGAAGTCAGATCGAAAATACAAAAGCTGGAGATGATGGCTCCGCTGAGTCCCAGTTCAGCTTCGCCAGGGTGTGGGTAAATGACACACTCTCAGACAAATTAGGCGATTCGGAAACGGCGACTCCAAATGATACAGTATGGAACAAGATTCTACAGGAACGCGAACGTATCGCTGCCGAAGAGGCGAAAGCAAACGCTCAAGCATTAGGACGGGGAAAGCGCAAGCGTCAAACGGTTGACTATGCCTTTCAGTATCGCGGTGTAGAGGGGCATCTGTTGTCATCACCGAAAGCCTCAGGAAAAGACGATACCGATGCAGAATTTCAATCATTTGGCCCTGAATCTGATCCTGAGGATGCTGATACTGATGGCGATTTTGTCAGCGAGTCTCGCAAATCGGGTACCGGAAAGGATATGGGAGGCAAACAGTCTACTAAAGGTATTAAATTTCATACCGTTGGTTTCCGTGATCATTGAGATGCTAACTTCTATTTTCTAGTACGCCCTTTCAAGCGGACCACAGTGCCCGATGTCAGCTTGGAGTTAGATAGCACAATGGATGGGAGTGGAGAATCCAGTACTACATCCTGTCCAGTGCGCCGCTGCGTAGCCTGCGATCAAATTCATCAAACCGGACACTGCCCGCTGAAATTAGCTGGTGTTGAACATTGTGGACTTTGTGGGATCGCGCATTATGGGCGCGGGCGAACATGTCCCCACCTCAACTCGGAAACCCAAGTTGCTTTAATGCTCGGCTCCCTGAAGGAAAGCCCCGAACAGCGGGCATTAGTTGACGAGGCCACCAAGTATCTACGAGGCATTCGAGGCGACCTGGTGAGGAGGAAAAAGCTCAAGCTAGCCAAGGGTAAGGAGGATTCCTTGCCTCAGGCCCCCCCTCCTCCACCGATTTTTCACCCAGCCCAAAACGTAGCAGCATATCTTCCTGCCAATCCGCCACTTCCATCGCATCATCCAGACCAAACTAATACGGCATCTCATCCGTATCTACCACGATCGCTGCCCACACACCCACAACAGTCATACCCATATTATCCTTATCTATCTCCCAGTGGGTCTAGGTAGAAATGATCCTCCAATTCTTTTCGACGCGCAAAGCCATGATGCCATGATGTATTAATTTATTTATGGCGAGGGTTCTCGGTATTTACTCGTGTATTTTTTTTTTTTTTCTTCTTTAAATTTGCGAAATGTATCATATCAGCTTGAAGTTCGCATGCGATTTTCGATGTTTATAGGGGGGGTGTGTTATTGGGACGAGAGCAAAAAGATCACACTAGAGCGGACCTTTGTTTTTAAATTCCGCTGCTAATTTTACTCTAAAGTAGAACGGTCCGTTATTAGATATTTTGAAGCTTTAGCTTAAGACCATCAACAAAGGCATTTGGTAGAAATTTCCTCGTGAAAATTGAGAATTTCAAATAAGCAACATTGAATCAATGATTAGTTATTAGTGACTCACTCTTTGAAGCTAATCTCAAATAGGTAATAAATGCCAGCCTGGATATAATTCTGTCCGAAAAGCAGCAAAAATTTGACAGCACCACTTACTCGTAGGCAGGAGTTGCAGAACACAAGGAGTATATTTCGCTTTCTAAACCTGTCGTCGCTGGTGTCTTTCATTGTTAGGGTGCACACGGGTTGTCTGTTTGCTACTTTCCTATCAGAAACATGGGAATGACCCAAGCGCCCTTTTGTTCCTTGCGCGCTGACATGCCCACCTCTCGCGGATGGACACAAGGGCATATTTATCCAGGCCATGGGGATCATTACATAAACGTAGGTCTCGGGTGATATCCTCTCTCCATCCAGATCTAGTTAAGGAAGAAGAAAAGAAAAAAAGAAAGAAAAAAAGAAAGAAAAAAAGAAAGAAAAATCCCACCGTCACGCCGCGTTCCATGATGCCAAGTGTTGCAAAATACAAGGCCACAATGGCAAAGCACAAAAGGTTGCCCAAATTCGAGCCACAGCCTGTTTAACAACCCGCCATAATAGAGAGCAATTAATCTCTTCATTTTTCCCAACGTTATCTGGCCTGCAACCTCAGAGAGAGATGGAGTGCTGTCGGCCTTATTCCATCTTCTATGTTGTTCATACAAACGTTTTCTTTGGAAATCCCTCTGAAAAGACAACGGACTCTCTATTCCAGGTGGCAGCTTGAAAAGCTATTCTATGGCTCTATTCTCATACTATGTATGGAGAGATCATACTTAGCCTTCCTCCGTTTCAAAGGACTGTGGGTAATTAGCCTAGCTACCTACTCAGGGCCTAGCAAGCGGTCGAGCCTGAACACACCGGGGGATTCAAGATATGATATCCTTTTTTTTTTTTTTTTTTTTTTTTGTTCTCCGCTACTAGCTCCTTTATAAAGCATTGACATTGTTGAGTTTAAGTCCAGTGATTTTGACCTGTTACAAAACCCTTCAGTCAATGAAAAGGGGCCTCCTGGTTTGGCCTGATTGACCTGAGTGTCATGAATCTGTTCCAAGATTGACAATGTGTTCACTCTGCTGGGTATTGAACTGTTGTTCAGGAACACCTATCATCTACTCTTCATCTAGGTCCATGCTAATGGTTTTCGTGGGGCGCTGGTACATATATCTTTTGATTGTACATGTATTATTGTACATGATATAATGCAGGGTACCGAGAGCTAAGGGCTGGGTCGGTCACACTGCCAGATGTCATCGTGGATACGTTGGGAACAAACTACTCTCTGGGGGAAAAGATGTTGGCAAACTGCTCCTCAGTCAATTGTGAATAATGGCTCAACAAAACAGAAACAGAACCTCTGCTGTTTCCATTTCTCTTCTCTTTTTCTCTTAACTTGTATACGCACATAGGTACCTATGTGGCAAATAGTGAACTTCTTCTATTCATTCACTTCTTCTCTAGAATCTCTCTATTATTCTATTTAATGGATTATTATTCCTCAGTCTCTCTAGAATTTTGAGCATGAGTAGCTATATGAATTGCATCTTTTTTGGATGGTACTTCTATATTATATTTTAGAGTCACAGTCTACATTGCTTTCTCTTATCTTTTTCATCTGATTTTCTGTGTTATTCTCAGTGTTGTTGAATTCTACGCTTTTCTCCTCGCTACAGTGGTCACCATCACAACGGCATTCTTCTCCGGCCCAACAACCTTCAGTTGCTTTGTTTTGTTTAAACAAATTGAATATATCAAAACATTATTCACCTCTACACCGTGTGAATATTGTTCAAACCCCTCATCTTAAGATCTCAGTCTCTTTCAGTTTCTTCGTCTTCTTCTTCTTCCTTCTCATCTTCCTCCTCTTCTCTTTGCTCGAGCTTTCTGTTCTCAACTGCTTCGCTTAACTTTTCGCACACTTCCTCCTTTACTTGCTTTTCGTCTCCTCCAACTGTTATTTACTGTTTGGTGCTCTTGTTTGGCTTCTTCATTCAACTACTGTGTTTATTATTGCTTTGTGCGTGAAACTGATCATAACCTTGAACCTGTTTTCATTACCTATCTCAAAACTTCAGGAGGACAAACAGCAATTGACAATGCAACCTGAGTTTTGTATCACCCGCCCAAGCGGAGCTGTCACTGCACTTATTGCAGTCGACGAATTGCCTCCCTTTGTAACCATTCGTGGTGTTCCTCGCTGTCTAGGTCAAATCGACCATGCGAATGGGATGGAGAATCTGGGGACTGTGAACGCTCGTGGTCAGTTCTATACCATCGACGTCGCTGTCAATGGCAATACTCATGCCATTAATGCTGAAATGGCCAATGGAGAGTCCAATGCGGAAACGGCTATGGCACCCCAGTCTGCTATTACGATTGGTGGGGATGGAATCTTTCGTCAAGCTAGGGGTGTTGATGCTGTGATTTGGAACCCCAGTTCTGAGGAACGCACCATTATGGCGTGGAGAAACGGAGTAAACGACAACACTGTTGCCAACACTGGCCAGGAGCTCGTGAAGTTGGTGAGTAGATTCAACACTCCACTGTCGTCTCATGTCCTTCTTTTAAGCTAATAAGGGGGTAATAAACAAATAGGATGACACCCCATCCCGAAACATAGGGGCCGGGTCTCAGAATGTGAAAAACCCAAAAACCACTCCCAAAAAGGAGTATTGCTCTTACTGGATCCGTCGCGGGGAGTGTGACTATGCGCAGCAGGGTATGTTGATATTCCCAAACTCTTTTTTCCTTATTTCTTAACCATTTCAGTCGTATTAAGTAGTCACAGGATGTCTTTACAAGCACGATATGCCTAGAGATGCTGAAACCTTGGGACGCCTTGGGCTTCGTGATATCCCCCGCTGGTATCGTGAGAAGTATAAGGTCAAAAGCATCGTTGGGTCTGATGGAAACGACTCACGCACGATCGCTGGACGTAGCTGGAGGCAGACGGGCCCAATGGCACCAGTCCCAGTCCCTAGATTCGCGTTGCCTCCCCCAAGATTCAACGTAGGGGTCACTGAAGGAGAAGTTGCAAACGGTGCACTTAGCTACGCTCCAGTTGCTGGCGCGACTTTTGGTCCAAATGAGGCCCGATTTGCCCGTGAGATGGGAGTGCACATGATGCATCCTGCTATCCGCTCTTCTCTACCAGAAGAAATCAATAGGGGATTGTCCATGGCTGGTGACAAAGCAGTTTGGGGAGATTTCGGCCTTGTTTCACAGAGTTCTCAAGGCATGTTGGCAGGAACTCCTGTCCAGACTGTAGGCTGTAACAATGTGATGGATGTCATTCAGCGATCTGCTGTTCATGAGCCTGTTGGCTTCTGTGCACCCAGCCCTGCGGTTCCCACTGGGGTGAACACTATGGCTTTTGTCAACCCTGCAAACACTGCAGCAAACCAGCATCCGCACAGCCAGAACAATGGCTCTGGAACTCACTCCATCTGGGCTGTGACTAACCGCATCAACAATGACATGGCCTCCCGCCTCCTTCCTCCATTTAACTCCATGGCTGTGACTGGGCCGCAGCGACCAATGACTCCTGAACCACTTGCGACCCACAAGTTGAATCCCTCTGCTTTCAACAGCCCGTTCCCAGCTGAAGGCGCGATCCGCAACACGCCGGCTTCGACCACCTACAGCCATGCCGGACGCGTTTCCTCCTTCTCAACCCCTGTCCGCTCTCCGCCTCGCAGGCAAGCCTTCCGCTCTGCCAATTCCGCATGGGCAATGGAGCCTGTTCGTGGCACTGCAACACCTGGTCCTAATGAAAACACCACCGGTACTCGCGCCGCCCATTTCGGTGACATCGTCCGCTATGGCAGTCCCAACCCCTCTCTCAAGCCAATTGGGCACAACCAGAACGGTATGGATTGGCGTCAGCGCCGTATGAAGCAGATTGCAAAGAATGATCCCTTTGGACTTGGCCTCAATGACGGCACCAGCCGCCATGAACGCAACTAAAAGGTTTCTATCAGAGCAGAGCTTTCTTAAAGGCTACATTCCCTGCGCCTATCCTCCTCCCAACTGAGGTGATGGATTTTCGCTTCGCCCAATAATTCTTGGGTTTTGAGACCAGAGACGTCCTGAGTTTTTCTTTTCGATTCTTGATGTTGTTAAGTGAATGACAATTGCCCCCTGTCCCCTTATTTTCAAACAACCCCTTTGTAATTGTTTATTTTTTTCATTTTTTTCATTTTCATTTTTCTTTTTAATCATTCAATCAGGCCTTTTCCTTGGTGTACCCTTCGAAGTCAGATTCATGTACTGAGCACCTATATGTTCAGTCCACTGTATTGGATTTCTTGTGATATAATAGCGTTGGACCAAAGATATTGGGTCCCCCCTTCCCTTCGATGGCTGTGTTCCGCAAGCCTATAACCCACTGCACCTCTGTTTATTATCACTGAGGCGGAAAAAATATACCCCTGAAGATGCGTATGATTTTTTCTTTTTTTCTTTTACGATCAGCACAGGCATGTTTCTTTCTGTATTTAGTTAGGTTCAGCAGCACCCGCCCATTCCCGCGGCATTGAAAGATGGTGGCTCAGCTTGTTCCCCCCCCCTAAGATAGCGCTATTATATGAATTAAAAAAAGAAAAAAAAATTTGTCTCTTTTGGCTCCGGTCTTACAGTTCCCATTCTCCTAGAAAAAAATGGCGAATAATGAAAAGAATATGATACAATACTTCGTTAAAAATTTGAGCTGCAATACCACCAATAATGTACAGATTGCAAAACCATCTATTTGATGCAACCCTTTCAAAAAAAGGGGAAAAACAACACGGTAAAAAAAATTAACTCGAAACGAAGTGGATAAAGAAGCAAACAACCCATTAGCGTCGTCCAGAGAACGGTTTCCATGGGGCAGGAGCACTCCTAGCTCGTACGAGCACGGGTTCCTTTCCAGCATGCTCGTCTCCAGCACCCACCTGAAGGGCGGGGTTAAGAGCGGGAATGCTGTTGATCGCCTGTTGTATCACCTCGTTTCCATCAGTAATAGTAGCCTTCGCGGCTTCCGTGAGTCTTAGCCTCTCCCTCCTCTCCTGTAGCTGCTGTTTCCTCTCTTCTGTCATCGCCCATTCTTTGGGGAAGTTCAACTTTGTCTTCGGCTTGTGGTGGCGGAGGTCCAAGGGGACATCTGCGAAGGAGTCACCCTCCTTCGCCTCCTTGATCAAACTATCCACTAGATCGCCCAGGTATCGCTTGTTCTGGGCACGGGTGGGATAGTTTTCCGCTGACATGCGGATGAGGTCTTGGTCGGGGTTGTAGCGGGGACCGACCAATTTTAATAGCGTTATGCGCTGCTCTTCGGTAAGGTAGTTGGGGACTAAATCTTTCGAACAGAATTCGACGACGACCTTGGTTTCGGCTGGGTGTGTCTCTCCCATGTATGTGGTGTATCGGAATCGGAGGAGATGGGTCTCATCTGGTAGGGTGAAAGGCTTTGCATGATCTGGAAGGTGAGATAAAAATTAGTAATGTTGTGTAATTAGGCGCCACAAGGAGCCACCTGGTAGACAGCATGTAATCCAAGAAGAGAGAGTGGAAACTGAAAAACATACTGCTAAGCAATGGCATTTCCCATGCCGCAATTCGAGCGAATTCTCTTAACTCCCGGTGTTGTTCTAGCTCGTCGTATGCCATACTCGTCATTCCGTCCTGCATGTAAGGCTCAGAGTGAAGCCTGTGAATGTCGTCGTTAAAATAATCTTCAACATCCTCATTCCCACCCGTCCAGCCTATAAACGGGCCCGCTTCTTTATGGATTTCGTTCATCGTCTGCCCAAGACCTTGTTCGCGCAGCGTCTTGGCGAGTGTCGTGAACTCACGGTCGAATGTCTCTCGCTGGTCCGGAGCCATTGCATCATATTGAGCACGTTCCGATCCGTCAAGGAGGTCTGTAGAGTATTCGGGTACTTCGAGTAAATCATTTTGCTTCAGCTGGCTGGCATGGCTGAATGGCGCAAATTGCCGTTGTGGTCTGAAAGCATTGGGGCGTATCGCGCTCCGTTTTGGGGCTGTCTGTCTACAGAGGACCAAAGCGGCCCGGCCGATAGACGTCGTTACCGAAGCCATTGGGCCGAAATCGTAAACATATACCAGGTTTCCGTATCCGGAGATCCTTTCCGCAAGACTTAGGATATGAAATGAAGGTTAGTTGAACGATCCGAGGACAAGAAAGTTTTGGGCTGGTTCGCATAAACAATTCTCCGATGTTCCTCCAAAGAGGCAGTTGAACACTTTGTCTGTCCGGCGAAGTTCGCATCCTTGGAACTTCACAGCAACTCATGATTTCTGAAGAGACAGATTTCCTATTTCACATGTTATCAATAAACTGTGTCTCATGTTCTCTGCTTCCGCTCAGTCCATTATTCCCTAAGCAACATATTCTTCCGTTTCTGCAAATATCCATGCCCGCTGGCATCACATAGTGAAGAAGGGTTCCTTCGACATCAAGCTCTATGGCCTCTTCAAAGCAGGCGAAACTATGTTTTGTGACCGTCGGGGCTACAGCTCCATTCAATGCTCTTGTACAAGAGGTTCTTGGAGCACCGTTTCTGGAAGCGCTTAAGGCCAACAACTACACAGATCTTCGGATCCAATATGGGCAAATGGGAGCTGCCGCCTTCCAGGAATGTAAACAGCGGAGTGGGTCTATGGTTAAAGAGAAATATGGACTGAATTTAACAGGGTTCGACTTTAACTTGACTGGCCTCAAGAGTGAAATGCTCGCTGTCAAAGCTGACGGTAGCGCAAACAAGGCGGAGGGTTTAGTCGTCAGCCATGCTGGTAAGGCACTTTTTTTTTTTTTTTTTTTTTTTTTTTTTTGTTAACGGCGGCGCAGATTTAGACTGATGCAATTAACCACCATGTTCTGTACGGTTTGAAGGTTCGGGCACAATTCTTGAAGTCCTTCGCTTGGGAATACCCCTTATGGTGGTCCCAAACCCCCAGCTACTACACAATCACCAAGACGAACTAGCCAAACAGCTGGCAGTCAGCGGATATGTGATCCATGGCAAACTTGGGTATGGTTGATGAATTTTCTCTATTGCTGCTCAATGCAAAATGCGCTACATTTCCCTGAACGTTTGGCTAAGTCTGATTTTAGGAGCCTGGCAGAGTCCATGATGGGGTCAGAAATTTTTCGGCAGCGCATGCATGAATGGCCTCCAAGCATCAATCAAGCGCATGCCGGCAAGGGCCTTGCTGGAGTGATGGAAGACGAGCTCGGTTTTGTGGATTAATGGCACCTTCAACGTCGAACTATTCGAACTTAGAATCACTCGTTGGGGGCTCGTGATCAACCCTTGGATGGGGGATGTTTTTGACCTGTCAACCAATTTTGAGATATATATATATCCCGGTTATGGGTGAGAGATTGTGAGATGCATGCGTGTTTATATACGGTGATACCTCCCATTTGGCATTGTATGGCGTTAGAGCAGGCGTTACCCATTTTCATTATTATTATTACTACTATTATCGCTATCTTGTATGTTATTTACCTTTTCTAAGTGCTATCATTGCGCCTCTATCTAAATCGCCCGTACTCCCTCTGGGTCCTTACTAGATATCTAGACCCAGAGTAGAGGAGATGACGAAAGAGAGCCCATTAGATGTTCAGTGCCAAAGCCCAGTTATGGCTAACAACGCATCCAATACTCTCAACCTACTGTCGTTCATCCACCATTGACCAACGGGAGTCGAACACACATCTCCTTATGCCGAGATGGCATCCAGATAACTCGGCAATTGAGAACTTGGGGAATCCCAGCGTTTTGCATTCCCCGCAATAATAAAATGACATAAAAAAATAAACTTCATGCTGTAAACTCATTAGATCTGCAAAATATTTAACTTTCTTCTCAGTCTGTGACATTTTGGCTAGGCATTCTTGTTGCAGACCAGACAAATCAGAGGGAGCTGCGGCACCTTGGTCCAAGCTCCTAGTGTTGACCTCAGCCAAAAAATAATAACGAACCCCATGAATTGAATTGCGCTAATCGCCGAAACAGACAAAACTTCATTTCGGGGTGATCTCACCAATTTACACGCAATTCACACCATATTTCTATCATTTCCACGGTCATATCATTACTTAGACCTCACCCTACGGCCGGCTGCAGCCCCCATCCGCGAGTGCGTCAATCTCAACGTCTATCTACGAGCGCAACCCCTAACCTCCACCCTCAGCACAGACTCCTACGAACCATGGCAGAAACGACATTGCATAATGCACCTATAGTGCTTGACAATGGCAGTGGGACGATACGAGCTGGGTTCGCGGGCGAGGATCTTCCAAAATGCTATTTCCCCTCCTTCGTCGGTAGACCAAAACACCTCCGAGTCCTCGCCGGCGCGTTGGAGGGCGACGTATTTATTGGACAAAGAGCTCAAGAGCTACGAGGTCTCCTAAAAATTCGATACCCCCTTGAGCACGGAATTGTGACGGATTGGGATGACATGGAGAAGATTTGGCAGTGGGTTTATGAGGGGGAATTGAAGACGTTGAGCGAAGAGCATCCCGTCCTCTTGACCGAGCCCCCGCTGAATCCACGGACAAACCGAGACACGGCCGCCCAGATCCTATTTGAGCAATTTAATATACCCGCCCTTTACACGTCTATTCAGGCGGTGCTGTCACTCTATGCTTCGGGTCGAACAACAGGAATTGTGTTAGATTCTGGGGATGGTGTTTCTCATGCGGTTCCCGTCTATGAGGGCTTCGCTATGCCAAGTAGCATAAGAAGAATTGACGTTGCGGGCCGTGATGTTACAGAGTACTTACAGTTGCTCCTGCGGAAAAATGGCTATGTGTTCCATACGAGTGCTGAGAAAGAGGTGGTCAGAATGATCAAAGAGAAGACGGGATATGTGGCCTTGGATCCAAAGAGAGAGGAAAAAGACTGGTCGACAAACGTCTCGAAGGTGGACTCTAAAACTCAGGAATATACTCTTCCGGACGGGCACAAACTGAAGGTGAGCGTCACTCGACGTGCTTATACCCAACCACACTCTCTTTAAGGCACACTTTTTCTGATGAATTGGTTTGGGAATACTAGGTTGGAGCGGAACGGTTTCGAGCTCCCGAAATTCTTTTCGATCCTGAAATTATTGGTCTTGAATATCCTGGCGTTCATCAAATCGTCGTCGATGCGATCAATCGGACCGATATGGACCTGCGCAAGGCGCTCTTCGGCAATATTGTCCTTTCTGGCGGTTCAACTCTATGTCGAGGCTTCGGAGATAGATTGCTACATGAAGTTCAAAGATTGGCTGTTAAGGACATGAGAATCAAGATTTTTGCTCCCCCAGAACGGAAATACAGTACATGGATTGGAGGCAGTATCCTGGCTGGTCTAAGCACTTTCAGAAAGGTACGTTCCAAGTCCTCTCGTGGCACAACCTCCACGTTTTGTATACCTTACTTTCTCTTTTCAATAACGCTCACTGTGTATTTCATTTGCTATAGATGTGGGTCAGCATCGACGATTGGCACGAGAATCCGGATATAATTCACACAAAATTCAATTAGAGAAAAGAAATTTAAGGATGTTCTGCACTGTCATGTCAACAACATTCATCATTCCTCGCTGGACGAGTCATATTTGTGGATACGATACCCTCGGAGTAACTGCGCGGAAAAAGGGCCCAGGAATGAGATAAGGAAGAAGGAGACGGAGAAGAAGCACTTGCCCATGTATGTACAGTATCATACATCCATTTCTCATCCTGCATTTCAACTCTTTTACTCACATTCTGTTCTCTTTCTCTCATTTTTTTCTTTTACCCTCTCTCGACGTCATTATGGCTGCTCAGCGTTACCGTACTACGATAATTATTTTGGCCCTCCTTCTTCCCTCTCTTTCCTCGTTTTATCGAAATCTAGCACCGGGCCATGGAAGCGGATATGCACTGCCATTTCAGGCCTGAGGGGTTTCCTGGGTGATACCTAGTTTCCCGCTTCTACCCACATTGGCATGTCTTTCTTAATCACAGTATTCAAGCGTATCCCTGCCTTCCTACCCTGCATTATATCCACGCTTTGATGGTCTTGTTTCTCTGGGATAAATTAATCTTTCCTCAACGCTCGAGTCTACCGCTTTCTATGTTCATTTAAATTTCCAACCCATTTTCTTTCTTTTACTTCCTATTTCCCTTTTTTGCTTTGTCTTAACTTATTCGTCAGATTCCCAAGCAAATTTCTCTCTATCCTGTATATAGATTTTTCCTTTTTCTCACTACTAGTTACATGTTTCGAGCCGACTCGGCTGCTTTGTTTTAATGATTTCATCAGAAGAATCTAGGCCTTTTTTTTTATTGAAGAGTAGCAAAGAAGAAGAATATACTAATCAGGAAATTCGTTCGTTGAAATTACTTCATACGACGGGGAGGTCAAGTTTGGAGATTTTCTGCGAACAATTATTAAAAATTGGGGTTCCAGGCCCAAATGCAAAACGAGCTCACCGAGCCACACGATTGCCCCGATCCTTGGAAGCTTTCTGGCTTGTGTATCACGAATGAACTTTTTGGATATTTTTCAAGCAAGTTCAGTTTTAAGAGGGGGAATAAAAAACAAGGGGGAATAAAAACAAGGGTAAAAAGTAAATATTATAAGTTCCAACCCCTACGAGGTTTGGACTGGCTATGCTTCCCAAGTCACCACATTGTACGGACGTAGGGAGAGAAGAGAAAAGAAAAAAAGAAAAAAAAAATTTAAAACAAAAATGTTCCATATCGTAATATGGACAGGCGGTTTCTAGGGCTTTCCAGAAGTTGTGTTAAATAGCTTTGAACCCTATTCAGGGAAAATTCGTTCAGCCGGATTCGTTTTATTTAATTTTTATTTTTCTTTAATTTTTTTCATTTCATATTTCCAGCTGGCTGGATTAATTATTATACGTATATACTTGTGTGAAACTGGTCGTTCTTCAAAAGCCAAAAAACGGAGTTAAAGGGGCCTATATCCACTAGATAGATATAAACGGCGAGATGTGTGAGGCACGGCAAGGGAGATGAACTGTAGAGTGAGTAACAGATGGGTATCAATGGGCAACCAACTAAGTCTTCTATGGAACCGTTTTCGGGGGGGGGTTGGCTATTTGGATTTGGGAGTTAAATATGGAAATTCGTCCTGGCAAGTTCCCATGGTTCATTTAAAAAAGCGGCATTGGAAATCCTATCTTGGCATTCACTGTGTCTCTAATTCAACACAATAAAGAGTAAAATAAGTGTTTATATGAGTATGTCCCAGTCCCAGGCATTTTGACATTTTCGTTTTCATGAATAAAATGTGAATATGGATCCAACATGTAATATATGGAAACAAAGGTAGAAGTGGCAACAGCAAAATCATAGCAATAGCCCCGTGGTGGGGGAGGTAGCTGAGATTTAGAAACGGGAGTATTTTTTTTCTTTTTTTTTTTTTTTTAAATAAAAGAAGCATCCGACTCATGTGAAATATATACGCTGAGAAGAAGCGTATCTCCTCAGGGTCGAATATTCCTCTCTATGGACGATGAAAGGTCAACAACAAATATGATTCATGGCTCTCTATCGGGAATACCATCTCAGTAGGGAACAAAGTTGCTTCGGAATTGATGGAAAGTGAGTTATCCATGCTGAGGAGTAGAAGAAGCGGAACGAGGACGACGAAGAGGGTAGAAGGAAAATAAGAGGTGCTTTTTTGGATAGTTAATCAGTTAATCGTGGGTCTCGTAAGTCGTTGCGAAAAGAGTAATCAGGAATGAACATGTGTAAGGCCGCAGGAAGAGTGTGATAGACTTTAGAGATAATCAGATAAGATAGAAAGACGCCCCCCCCTTCTCGAAGAAAACAGCCATGTGGAGTCCTATCACGAGTAGGCCATAAACTTTCCCCACTGCGCTTCAAGACTCCTCCTTGTTGTATTCTTGAGCGGATCCGCGTCTATGGATTCAGTACTCGATGCGCTCTTCACGCTCCCTCCGCTGTATTTGCGCGACAGATCGAACCCCTCCGGTATTATCCTGTTTCCTGCGCCTCCCCTTCCTACGTGGAAAACGGGGGCGACCTCTTTCTCGCGTCGTAGTTGGCGTTCTAGCTCCTCGTCGAAACTAAATATGGCCTGTTCACCATAGCTGTGTACGTTGCCAGTGCCGCCACGGCCGGACGTGAAGCGATCCTGTGGCCGGTTATCTCGAAGGGTGGCCGGGGCCGTGTGAGTGACTGATTGGCCTGGTGCGGTTGTGGTGGTTTTCACAGAGACGACATTGCCTGCACCTCCGCGAGAAGTGTGCATGACAGGACGACTTGAGTGGGAGAGGGAGATGGAGGGATGAGGCTCAACCAGGCTGTAGGGCATGTTTGATATTTGGTTTTGGTGAAGCTATTGGTATTCTGAGAGTCTGGGTTATTCTGAAGCGCTGAAAACTTGAAATATAGGTGAGTGAGTTGCTTCAGATCGTGATATCCCTCTTAACACAGCGAAGGGTAACAGGTTTATTTATTATTATATTATAAATAGCCTTACACGAGGAGAATAGTCGGCAAATGAGGCGGGATATGAGAGCGAAGCCGAGCAAAATGACGAAAAGTATTATATAACAAGCTTTCGCGACGTTTCTAGATATTAGCTAATGATCCTAGGACAAACGGATGGGGGTGTCGCATTATATACTTTATTTTCATGCCAGATGCGCCTATGGATTTCCTATTTCCAGTGAGTGGCAATGCGGGGAAAGTTAAATTATTGCTCTTCTCTTCAGCATCCATTATGGATGTCTTCCAGGGTTGCTACAAAGGGTTTGGGCTCGGCTCGTCGGGCGACGGCAAAGGAGAATCATCCAGCACATCACAAGGCCCAGCCCCCTCAGGAGCCAGCGAGTTTGAGCGCAAAAAATAGAACAAACCAGGCACGAGTCACCCATGGAATGATTCAGTGAAAATTACATACGGTTCGTTGGGACTCGCGCTTTGCAGTTAACGGCTACTGGAGAGGCGTTTACTGACGCCATCAGCTAGCTACAGAGTAATTCTTGGGCTAAACACCGCGCTATTTGCGGGGCACTAAAGCGGCACGGGGGCTTGTTTCATTCATCAAACAAATGACGGTGAATACGCAGTAGGTCTCGTGGCTAGATTCTCTGGGGTCGTCGTCTCCAAGCTGCCAGCAAACTCGACAGGAACGCTGCTTTAGAGGCTATTCATCAGCTGATGGAGGCCGGTGTCCCATCCTCGTAACAAAAACAGGGGTTGGCGGCCAATCGCAAACACGGGGCTTTCAATCGACGGGAGGGATCAATGTTGCAGCGCAAGCCCCAAGGATCAGGATCAGCATGGCATGGGAAAGTACAGAAGTTCAGCACCAACTACGGAGTAGTAGTTATTAGGATATTCGACAGACATACAGGGTCCTCTTGAGGGGAAACTGTAAGCGGCTGGCTGTGCTCGAGCGCAAAGTTCTTGACCAGATAGATACGTTCCTTCATACAAAGATTGCCAACAACTATTTTTGGCATGGAAAAGGCAAATCAAAAGTAGCGACCGCGCTCCTATTAACCACCATATAATTGCTGATTGGAATCGGTCAGACACACCGGCCAGGGCCGAGAACGCCGAGGAAATGCTTTGCAACATGCAAAGCTCCTGCGATCACCGCTGATAAGTTTAGACTAAAATTATTTTACGACGGCCAAAGATGCACGGCTGACGTACATGGAACAAAAGGCATGATGCCCCCTGGAAGTTGTCTCTTGTCACGAGGATACGTTGTTGGACAAGTCGAGTTCTAAATGAAATCTACCTAGCGCAGCCGAAGAAATAACAACAGCGTCAACAACAACAGAGCAGGAATAGGAAGAATGCTCAAGAGTGCTATGCTAGTTCGGCACAATCCCTTTTTGGTGCCACGCATAGACCTGCATCATTCTAGGGACCGCCCTAGCCCTCGCTATTTCTCCAGTATCGACTTTGTAGCGGGAAAAAAATACCCTTTTTGAGCTTTGCGCCATTTTCATCAAACCCCGGTAATAATGAGCTCAAGTACTCTAGATTTGTCGCATGAACATAATAGCTAGCGGCAGCTCGTTCAATCTTCAATATAAGAACCAATTGGCAATGTACACGATCCGCCGGCGGTTGTCCACGAAGGGTAGGTACAACCACACCACACCACACCACACCAACCCACTCCCCCCCCTAAAAAAAAATAAAAAATAAAAAAATAAAAAATACATCATCATTGAAGGCCGAGGCCGATTATCCATTGCCGATGTTGCGACTAGGGAAAAAACTGACTGACTGACCTAGCGGTGAATTTTGCATGGGAAAACAGATGATGGAGAGACTCATGTCTATCTACTTCGTCCTAGTCGGAGCCCGAAGGCATCGCCTTCAACATATATCAATAAATGTGACACTGATTATTGCCAATGAGAAACCTAGGAGCCAAAATATATTGTTTGAAGCATCATTTACCTATATATTTTGTTATTTTTGCCTACCTTTACTCCCAAGGCCATTTTTTGACCCCCCTCGATTTTGCCTGTGCCATCAATTTGAAGCAAACACAACAAACAGTGCATAGACTATTCTGCCATCTCGCGCCGCCTTTTAACCTAACCTCCATCGCGCTTCTTCAATTTGGCGTCACTCGGACAGAAAGAAACACTCTTTTCTCGCTATAACGAAGATATACATGAACTTGGACGAGGCCCGTTGTTTCCCACGGCGTACAATTTGGAAGTCACCTTGACTTGTCCGTGTACTATTAGCAGCACTTTGATTGTAATCAAACCACAACAACCCTGCTATCAGCTCGAGTCGCTCGTTTCCAGGATAGCAAGCTATTTAATCAGGCCTCGACGGACACACACTCGATACTTTCTTCCTTTTAGATACCGACACAGAGGAATATCCTTTGCGGGGAGGTCTACACGGGGATTGGAAAGCGGGCGATTCCCGGTGACAGGAATTGAGGTTCTACGGGCAACTCCGACCCCCGCCATCAAAAATGCCGAAATATAAGTCCTACCTATTTTGTTTATCTTCTTGGAACATGTTTTTGCTCCGACTCTGTTCCTGTTTATGTGTTGCACTTCGGAAATCCCCTGCTGACATTTCAATTTACTCTTCTGTAGGTTCTTCCCGTCAGTTTACCGGCTGCGTTTTCGCATAATCGTTTCATTTTAGCCTCGAACGTTTCGATAACAAAATTGGCGAGGCCAATGTAAATGGATATCGTCAGTGCTAACAGATGTGCCTAGGTGATTACTGCGATGTATACCTGACACATGACTCGATGAGTGTGCGGAAGGCACACAATTCAGGCCGTAATCATTTACGAAATGTCGTCGAATATTACCAAGGTACGCCTACACCCCAAACCCGCATCCAAAACGGCAGCGAGCTTTCTCTAGCTTTCGATAACTTTTGTTTTCCTTGAACATCATCCAGACTAACAACTCTTCGTTTGCTCTTGCAGAAATCGGTCATGAGAAAGCACAGTCTGTCATCGATTCTATCACAAATTCGTATGCGGCCGAAGGCCAGGCAAGCTCGAATCCCATGCTTCAACAACCAGGCGCACCGGGAGCATATCCGCCACCACCATTTGGCTTCCCTGGTGAGTTTCACCGGTGCTTTTACTGTTGCCTTACCCAAGACACGTTGCTCTAATATCTATCTTTAGGTCGGCCGGGAATGCCCCCACACCCACCGTTCGGTATGCCCGGCGCACCTCCTGGAGCACCACCTGGAGGGATGATTACACGTAAGTCTAACTCCCCTCCTTCTTGTCCCTTTCCTTTCGATACGAGGAGAATGAAAAGGAAAATAGAGATCTTCAAGAACAGCGTAACTAACAAATCCGTCTAGCCCCAGGAGGTCGTGGCATGCCACCTTTCCCCCCACCACCCCCCTTCGCCCCAAACGCCGCAGGTCCATCTGGCGGAGCCCCAATGCCCGGCGACCTCCCACCCATCGCACTCCCCAACATGCCACCAGGCAGCATCCCATTCCCCCCACCAGGAGGCTTCCCCCCTAACTTCCAATTCCCCCCACCGGGCGCAGCGGGCTTTCCTCCACCGCCCATCCCAGGCCAAGGCCCAGGGCAAAATCCAAGTCCTGGTCCAGGGGCGGCGGGTGCACCCCCAGTACCACCATCTGGTTTTCCTATGTCTGGTGCCCCACCTCCTCCTGGGCAGTCTCAGTCTCCAGGGTTGGTCCCGCCGCCGGGCGCGCCCGCCAAAAGTCAGTATCGCCGCCGGGTACTACCAGCCAGGAGGGGAAATGACGGGAGGCGGTTGGTTTTGTTTTGTTTTTTCCCCTTTGTATCTCTGTATCTCTTGTATGAAAATTGTACTCATGTATTCTTCAATATCAGTTTTTGCCTCTTCTATTTTTTTGTAGCCATAGACAACTCGTCGCTATGCTCTTTTCCTCCCCTTTCCGTTTTTCCCTTTGTATTCCCTTTTCTATCCCATGCCTCCACCCGTCTTAGAGTAAAACGGACCCTCTTGGACAGACTCGACTCCCCGGCCAACAGACCACAGAAGTTTTGTCTTTTGTCATCATTTCTCTTTTATCTATTAAATAGAATTATTTTTTGAGGTGGAGGGAGGGGGCGGCAGCCAGGGGCGCTGCTAGGACACTATGTTCGGGCCCCCCCCCCCCGGGAAATCGGACTCCTCACTCATCTATTATTTCATCTAATCCGTATATCGTGGCCTCTTGCGGCTACGTATGTAGCTGCGAAACCATGGGGGGAAGGGAGGTTAAGTAACAATGCATGTAATTTTTCTAGTCTTTTTCTCTCTAGGAAAGTTCAAACAATCATATGAAAAACATCTTTTGAATCTGTGTTCATATCCGTATACCTTTCCCAATGACGAGCGTTAGTTACTCCGCATACTTCAATATATATAGATCACGGAAGCCTTGGCTCTGCCCACGCACCATCTTGATTTTCGAGACAACAACCCCAATGAGAAGCAGAGAAGAGAAAATAATAATACATATTTTAATAACCAAAAAAAAAAAAAAAAAAAGAAAAAAAGAAAAAAAAAAAGAAAATGGCAAAACCCGGCCTCGTTAACTAGCTAACCCAGATTCAATAAAAAATAAAAAAATAAAAAATAAAATTCTCGAAAAATCTCCCCGACAGGGAATCGAACCCTGGTCTCCCGCGCTTGGCATGTTTATGACAAGCGGAAATCATGACCACTAGACCATCGAGGATGTTTGCTTGACTGTGAACACGCCCCTCGCGCGACATTAAAGCGTACTTACGGTTCCTCCGATGTTGCAGATTTTGAGTGAGACTCTCTTAGTTGACGGGGTGTTGATTTGATTTTATTTTATATCTTATAATCAATCATCCATGGGAAATATAAAATCAAGAAAGAGGCTGTGTTGTATTTTTAGATGAGAAGTTTGATTGTATTATAGTTACAAATGAAAGAGGGGAAATAAATGAAAATTAACAAGCAAAATATGAAAATGCATGTACATGCAACTTAGAAGAAAGAAATGAAGAGAGATCAAGAATGAGATTGAGAGTGAATCTGTGAGTATCTAATGTTTCTCTCCTGAAGAATTAAGTAGCAAAACAAAATACATAAAGAGTAAACTTCAAGAGTGAAATGATAGACAAGGAATGCATGCAAGGTTTAAATGAGGAAAATATATAGTGACATGAATGATCATTTATATGAAAGGAAGCCAAGGTTAGTAAGGTTCAAGATGAGACAAAGAAGGCAGATGTGTTTTTGTTAAAAAATATACATACGAAGATTTGAGACAAAAAAATGTCGGAAAATAAAAGGACGAAGGAAAAGTAAAGGGCAAATAGAGAAGGGAAAGGAAAAGAGAAGGAAAGTAGAAATGCAACACATCCGTGTCTCTTTGCCACGAATTACGTGAAAGTACCATATAAAACGCCTGGGAGGGACATAGGAAAACGGCAGAGCAGGTTTGCAAATGAAAAAGGCAAGGTGTATCATTGGTGGGGTGCGGATGATTGAATGTTTCGAGTCCATTCATTCAAAAGAAAATAGCGTACGATGAACAGAACAAGAACAAGAAATATAAAAACAGAACAATAGCCCTTAATGACGCCAGAGAGCAAGACCCAAAGAACCTATTATTAGGAAAATAAAGCAAGGCAAAGGAAAACCCATTTCCTAGCCCATGGAACTGGTCATCTCTTCATTCTCGGGGAAAACGACCAAACGCTAGCATCGTTCTACCCGCCAAAAACTTTAATGCTCGTATCCTGCGCCACGTTGCCATGGACTGCTGTTGTTGTTCATTCTATACTGAGCCGGATTCGAAGTCGCCGTTGGAGAATGCGGGAATGGCGATGTGGTAAGGTTTCGGGGCGCTGGCGAGATGTTTTGTGCTCTAGAGTATCCTGCGCCTCCGCTTGGAACCTGGCTCTGATATGTTGGGGGTGGAGCATTACGAACTTGGTTGTCGGCAGGGAATAAAGGTACAGAGGAATCCAGAGGAGACAGAGGTTGTTGGCGTTGTAGGGTTTGTGCAGGCGAATCGGCCCGGTTAGGGTATCCGCCAGATAGTGAGGACGAGTCTTCGAATGATTTCGATTCACCGCGCGCAGTCGCTCCAAGAGCATCGAGCTCCGTTGTCAGCTGAGTCTGAGACTTGATGAAGGATCCGCGGTCGTCTCTCATTGGTTGATATCGTGTATCGGGATTCTTGGACACGATAGCATACACCGATGAGATCAAGACTAGAATAAGTAGGATAAGGGCGAGTACTGCGTTGACAACGAAAAAGATGACGCCCATGACGCCAGTGACAAGGCCCTAAAAAAGAGGTTAGGTTTTAGATTTCCAATTCGATTTTGACAAGAATAGTAAGCTAGAGGGTTGGGGGAGGGAGTTGAAAGAGTCACTTACAGGCTGGTTAAATACTTGGGTGAAGAAGAGGAGCAGAATGACATTAAAAAAATTGACCGCAGCGATCGAGATGTTGAAAATATTAGTCTTTTTGTCCATCCATGGCCTCATCACGCTGGCAGCGATCAGGACAGCAGCTTCAATGATAAGGAGAGCAATAGCTTGAACAAGGGGAGCCGGCTGTGCCAATCCGACAAACATGCCCTTAACCAAGATATAGACTAGGACGGGGATGACGCAGTAGTAGGCCGTTGCCCTGTACTGAACATAGAGGAAACCCCACTTGTTCAGAGCTGAAGGGTCTGAGTATAAGATATATGCTGGATTTTTGTGTAGCTCCACAGATTTCTTGGCCAGACGAATGACGGTAAATGCAGCGAAACCTAGAGACGCGCACATTGAAATGAGCATGAATACGGCCAAAACAACCTCGGCAGGCGAATCTCGTTTAGTAAGTTCCCATAGACAGAGGATGCACATTTGCGGAAAACCGATAAGTACCTGGAGAGCAGAGCGGTTAGAAAGAATATCGCCTGGCACATCTGCACGGGACAGAGACAAAACTTACCAATCGGAACAAAATGCCTCTCATGATAACCTTCCATCCGTTTCGGAAGTCCTGAAACTTATCACCCTTAATCCAGCCTTTCTTGGACGCAATCTCGCAATATCCTTTGAACAATGCAACCAGCCCCAGGACAACGACAACAAAAAAGACGAAAAAGATCAAGCCAGTCATGAAGATGTTCGTCCTCTCGATATTAGCACGGAATCCAACTCTTTCAATTCCCCGAACAATGGTATCCTCCACTTTCTGCTTACTCTTCTCGTTGTTTGTTCGCTTCAAAAGATGCGGAACATTGGCGAGAAATTCATTGCCCCATTCAATGGAACGCTTCTGCACATGAACGGAGGTAGATCCGAGTTTGGATAGAATTATGGAAGGCTCCCCGCCAGTCGATCGTTGGTACCAAGTGCAAATCCTCTGTAGAAAACCAACTTGGATGATACCCATGCTCCACTGGAAGTTTTGGGTCCAGGACTGAACGATTGGTGGGAGAGTGACGCTGGACATTCCGACCATAGCCTGAGCCTGGAAGAAGCCGAATAGGGAGAGCGCATTAGCTGCAACATGGGCAGCGGTGTTGGAATGGCCAAGCCCGGAAGTGATTGCAGAAGCAACCAATCCAAGACCGGCAACTATGGCGACAATCCAACCCACAGGTTTCTGATAGACCGTATTGCCGTTGGAAAGCCGCGCTTCTAGACAAGCAATGCTCTTACCAGTTGCAGTTTCATTGATGTAGACCCTGATCTTAAGGTCCAGATCGGGGACTCCGTATGCAACGGCTATGCTTTGAAGGTTAGACATGACGGAGAATAGTAGCCAGAGAGCAGGGTCGGGAGAAGAAATACATATATAAAGAAAAAGAAATAGGAAAACTCACTTGGAATACTGCTGAGCGTGTCCTTGGGAAGATCCGGGATGTTGAAATCGTAATCGATGGGGCCAGCCCGCATGGGGCAAAGGGTTTTCAAATCGACGCCTTTAATATTACAAGGGTTTAGTTTCTCATTTAATATTTGATGTCCATAGGCGAGCACTCGGGCATCTGCGGTAACGTAGCCGGTAATTGACGAGACCCCAATAACCTGCACATGAAGGGTGTTATTGTCGGGTGTGAGGAGGATATTGAATAGACTGGTGGTGAACTTTGAATCCTCCTGGCAAGTCGTAAGGGAATTCGACTTGATCAATTTCACGGCGGAGACAAAAGGGGCGAACGGGAGGAGGAAGGCGACCAAGCAAGAGAAGGTGGTGAGAAGGTTCATTGTGCCGATTCAGGGTGAAGAAGGAGAAGAAGATGGAAGCAGGCAAATGGAAGAGATATCAAGCCTTCTGCCTGGGGGGGGGGGGATGGATTGGGTACTCCAGAGTACCTGTTTCGTGTTTCTTATCACGGAACCCGGCGGATAAATGAAGTTTCTATTTTTCTGGCTTGATCAAAGAGGGAGAGAAGAGCGAGTGATGGTTTTTATTTGGGCTCGGCCCTGTTGGACGATGCAAGTTGCTCACACGAGGAGAAGGTTCTCGAGGCAACTAGGAGGAGCAGCTGGAGCTGGCTGGTAAAACGAATGGATTGGATTGAATAGAACAGAGCAGAGGAGCGAACGAAGAAGCGGCAGTAGTGGTGGTGGCAGAGCGTGAGACTAAGCGGACAAGATGGCGGTGATAGGAGCGATCGTGGGCGTTCCGTCAAAGCGGGGAACGTGGGACGAGGAACAAGAAGAAAAAAGGCCTAGAGAGTGGCAGGCGACGACGGAAGCAGGGTATTATTTTGAGAACGGTGGTCAGGGTCGTCGGGGATGGATGGGGATACGAGAATGAGAATGAGAAGAAGAAGAGGAAGAAAGGAAGAAGAAGAAGCAGAAGAAGAAGAAGAAGAAGAAAAGAAAAAGAAGAAGATGGAGATGGAGATGGAGATGGAGATGGAGATGGAAGAGATTGAAGAGATTATTGAAGAGGAGGAGGAAGGCAGGAAGGAGGTGAGGTTGGTGATTGCAGCCAGGGAAACGACAGTCCTGGGAAGGAGCAGCAGGAGCAGCAAGGAGAGGGATCTTAGGGAAGGCGCCGATAGGATAGATAGATAGGGTTTGGGCTGGAACTTGGCTCCTTTGTGCTGGATGCGGTTAGGCGCGGAAATGTCGGACCGTATTACGGTTACAAGGGTATTGCCCCACCCTCCCAGACCAGTTGACGCCCGTCCCGCCCGCCAGTCAGGAGCCGGAGTCCGAGCCAGAGTCTCAGTGCTCAGCCACCGCGCATCCAGCCAGCCAACCTTGAAGACTCCCTTACGTATGTACTGCGTAGTACGGAGTTAGTTTCAGTTAGTTAGTTGTTAACTAATTTACGGAGTAACTTACAGAGTAGTTACAGCTTACATACACTCGTAGCCACAGCACAACTGTGCCCAAGATGTGTTTCATTGGGACACGCGGCCCGAGCACGTGATATACCGTCAACTGTCGGATGGTTGATCTTCTTTACCTAAGTACTTACTATAAAGAAGATCATCATCAACTTTACTATCACAATACTGATAATAGTATGTATGGTCTTAGCAATTTTTGTGTTGTGTGTTAATATTATGGATTGAAATCACCACAGAATATGTTTTTTGCTGAAACAAGAGTTGCACCTCTTGCACCACTTGTTTGATTGACATCTGAAACCGTCCTCAGCTACTTCCACTATCCCCGCCTGTTTTGCACAACCAAAAAAGAACTAAGAAAAGAGGAGGGGGAAAGAAGGGGAAAACCCTCTATCCCTCCATCGTCGTCATCCCCCTGCGTCATGGTCACCACATCATCATCCACAGTCTTATCTTCTTCAATAATTTACATTCTCGTCCTCCGGAGAATAAATACAACCCTCTTCCCCCCCCCCCTCCCCCCTAGGAAATTCCGGCGCCAATACAGAGTAGTAATACACACAGAGAGGATATCTGGGGGGCTGACTGACTGACAACTCTTCCTTCCCCTTCTCTGCCCAATCGTCCAACTAACGAGTGTCTGCACAGCCTCCTGTCTTGCATTATTGTTTATTCTTCTCCCAACATGATGACGGCATTCACCATTCAGCAACCAGGAACTGACCCGGAAAATAATAAAAAAATAAAAAATAACAACACTTCAAAATTACAAAAAATCCTGCCCCGTTTATTACTTCACGACTCGTATGAACGAACACCCTGCTGCTCTCCCCCCCTGTTCTAGGTTGATCCGATTCGATACGGCTGGATCAATTCAATTCAATTCAATTCAATGCCTGGGCTTCCTCCTTCTTCCTTTCTTCCCTTCTGCACCCGCCATCGCCCTAGAACGTCTATCTGTCCTAACAAATTTTGCTAGGCAGCGCTATCGCCAGAGCAAAGCACACCGCGCAAGCCAGCCAGCCAGCTCACCCATCCCATCTCGGTGCCCGACATGATAATTCTCTGGCGAAAGTCTCATCTGGGATAGGTGTAGAAGGCTTCCCCTCCGCTTACTACTACAATATCTAGCGGTAAGTGTTTTTTCGTTGTCGGTTCTCCAACTAGTAACTCAGTAGTAGTAGCTGAATTCCCGTACGTACGGCGGGGCTAGGGCTAAGACTGGCTAGGCTAGGGAGAGCGAGATGAGATGAGATGAGGGTGGGATTTTCGTGATGCCCACAAGGTCTTTTTTTTTTTCTTTTCCTTTTTATGCCATTGGCGGGGGAGGGGCGGGAAAGAAAGAAATACATGTTCTTTCTTCATGAATGCGATCGTTTGATGGATTGCAAAAGAAAAATAGCGCTTTCCTTTTGTATCTTGACTTCTTGCGATTAATGGGCTATTTTGTGCGGAATGAATGCAAAGTGAGTGCGTGGGATTCATATATTTCTATTTCTATAAAAAATATAACAACGCCCCCTAAAATTCCATTGAACCGACAGGGCATGGATGGGATGAGGCGTTCATCACACTCTTCTTTTTTAATTCCACTTTTCTATATCAGAGCATGGGAGCATGGGAGCATTGGAGCGTCTTCTTTCCCCCCTACGGCCGACCTGAGTTGGCTAGGGCGCACAACCTGACTGATATGTGTCCCCTTTCCTGGTTCAAGTCCGAGATAGCTGACAGATAGGTGTGCGGTGGGATAGCCAAAAGACCAGCAGCGAGCAGGTTCGCCCCGATGTTTCAATATTCGATATCAGATATCAGCAGCAACCACCTATCATTCAGAATACTGAATTTGGACCAAGTCTTGCCAAGAACACCCGGCCATAGGTCCCCGCGCGCGCTGGGCCGTGATATCGTGATGTGTGGCGGAATTCCCCCTCCGCTATTTACTCTATCTCTTCTCTCCTTTCCAGCACTGCGTGCCCAACCTCCACTCCATCGTCCGTCACCCTTGCCGGTGACTGGTGGCCATATTTGGCTACGGGAGGCTCAATGGAGGTATGTAGCTGATGCTTTTTGCTGGAGAATGGTGCTTGGACTGTGGCGCGCGCGTTCGAGAGGTTGCTGAGGAAAACAGCTATCCCAAATCGTGGATTTACTAAAGATGGGAGGGACAATAGAGCTGTAATCACTCCTCCCTCCTCCCGTTAGTTGACTTATATTGATTCAAATTTTCTGTATACTACAAGTAACCTAGTAAAAGTCATCTACACCCGTCGCGTCGCGTCGCTCTCTAACAAATACAGTACTGTACATAGTTAACTGATCTATCTATCATAGCCTGTCTGCAGGACGCTCGTTCTATATATAAAATACATCGGAAATTGGGGCCTTGGAACCCCACCACGAAACGAAACCGTCATCATATAGATAGATATTTGACTTGATCCCTTTCCGCGAGATATGAACATAAGACTAAGCAGGAAGGGCAAGCTCCCTGGCCTCATGGCTCCCTCCACCCACTGAGCGCCTGGGGACAACGATAGCCCAGGTGTCTATTATTTTTTTCTTTGTCCCAACCACGAGCCATAGATGTTCTTGGTCTTATTTTGTTAGCCCGGGGGCCTGCGGATGAGGTACTTTTGATATTCTATTTTCGAACTTGCAAAGATAGATAGATATCAATGGAGCAGGGCCTGGGAGTAATGCTACGCAGCTATGTATGAGTGTGGAAAGGGGCTCAGCAATAGATATGTATATAAAACATAATAACACACTCAGTGCAAGTCGAGGCCGTACCATTCTCCTTCATCTACCTTTCTAGATCACTTTTCTTTTCTTTTCCATTCTGTATTCTTCCTCTTCAAAAAGGTGAAGGACGGCGGCATTATCCTCTATACCCTCTGTTGCAACAACCTTCTTCAACGCGCGAGAGCTGGGATTACCTCGAGTTACTTAATAACTCCAGGGCTGGTTACATACATAGCTTGAGATTGACGAAAGAAGGCTTCGGAGGACACACACACACACACACACACACACACTCTCTCTCTCTCTCTCTCTCTCTCTCTCTCTCTCTCTCTCTCTCTCAACATATTTAATATGATCTGATGCCTGCTCCCTGTTATCGCAGATTCCTGTTTTGGTGTGATCTTGAACTGATGCAACCGCTTTTATTTTTTCATAGGTGACAATGGAGGTGCTAACGGTTATTTTTGACGTTGAATGTTTGGCGATCTGAGTTCCCCGTTATTTAAGCTCGCAAGCGAACCATGTCGGAAAACAATTATAGGCTTTCCTAGGCTAACTGGTAAGGATTGCAGGAAGACTGGGCTTTTAGGTTAGATTTATATTTTCGAGCGATGAAAGGCGCGATTACCACCACCAGGTTGTTTTTAAGTTGGAGCTGGCTGGATGTTTTTATATCGGTTTTATTTGAACAATGGTTCTGTTCAATGCGACCGATCGACCTTGGCTTTTTTTTGCTTTTGACTCTCTCTTTTGCGAGAACGCGTGAGAGTATCTGTTGTTTCTGGAGTTGAAACGGGTTTCTGGAGTTGAAACGGGGCGAATCCTCATGTCTTGCTAAGCCATTTTTTCTCGATCCCAAGTCTGTTCAGGGGTAACTTTGGAGCCCTATCGGCGCCCGTGTGTGTTGCCGGTGGTTGGTTGTTGAGGTGTTGGTTGCCGTCAAGTTATTTCAGAAAACTTTTCCTGATCGATGAAATAACTCCATTGAAGCATTGTAGATCTCTCTCTATATCTATTTAAACCCTGAGAATGCTTTGAAAGTAAAACCAAACAGGTTTCAAGCAAGTTCAGGACTCGCATGTTACTAAAGTGGTGGATAGGAAAAATGTTCTAGTACATACATATGTAAATACCAAGAAATATATATAGCAGAAGACAGTAATTGGTGCTTAGGGTATGGGGTCAAAAGACAAAAAGGCTAGGTGAATATTAGGTTCAAATATAAACAAAAAGAAAGTAAGATGAGGGCCAAATCCCTTGTTCGCGCTCCATGGTATCAAATTCTGAGAAAATGACAGTATACAAACGCCTTGAAAATCATCGGGTCCACATATGTAACATGACCAAGATATATTCATAAAGAAATGGAAGACAACAAATTTAAGTAACAAAAAGGATAAATCGGGTCATTATTTCTCGTTTGGATGTTTTTTTGAGAAAAGGGAAAAAATAAGAAAAGAAAAAAGCAAAGAAACAGAAATAGAAATTGGTGGTTTTCATACTTCCTTTTGTAAAGGAAAAAAAAAGAGCCTTTTTCATTTAGGCTTGAACAGATGTCGCAGAGGACTGGGCTTCTTCGTCTTTTCTTTCTTTTTCTTGTCTCTCTTGTCTTTCTTGTCCTTGCCACTCGCTTCAGTCGGCGGGGCACTAGATCGCCTTGACCGTCTGGAACTTCGGGTCGTATGTGTATAGCTTGATGCGTTATCCCTGACAGTCTCTGCACCTCTAACGCTTCCTCGTCTACTTCCGCCTCCATATTCGGATCGAAGGTGGTGGTAATGGCTGTGGCCGGTGGGGAAGATCCCAGACACAGCAGCAGCCCTCGGGGTGATAAACTCTCCATCAACGGACGTCGCGACGCTCTCCGCCTCGAAATCAGCAACGCCACGTCTCCAGCTCTCCACGCGACTAACGTCCTGGTTGAGTTCTATCAATTCATCCGTGCTGCCCTCTGGCTGCATGCCACTCGCGGCTTGGATGCGCTTGACAATCTTGTACCCCCCGAACATGACGACAGTAACACCAATTCCGACCCCAGCGGCAATCATGAACTGAGGACTGGATAGAAGTGCAAACACGGCTGGTGAGCTGGACTTCAAGGCCGCCAGGGCCGCTGGAGCTAGCTTCGAGGCGAGATTGCTGATCTCAGCTAGCGTGAGCGCTACGGCAGCCATCGCTTCAGGATTCTTCTGTAAGTGGGCCATCGTGGCTTGTGCAGAGTGCTGTGCACAGTCGGCTTCGACAAGAAGGCCTTTGGCTTTGGCGACCAGTCCGCCCATCACATCCTCAGGGTTTGAGTTCACCCGCTCTAGCGAGTCAGGGTGATATTCACCGTATGCCAGATCCATGTCGACGTGGGGAACGGAACGGGACCGATTGCCGGGGTGGAGATATTGGGGTTGAGCAGCGACGACATTTGAGGTGTGGTGGCGCGAGAGTTCCCGTTTTGGCATATGGTCTGGGTGGGAGTATAGGGATTCCGAGTCATGATCAATCTCATGAGGGTACCGGTGGGAAGGATGACGATCTACTTCACTGTGTCTAGCCACTGATTTCGATCTTCCTGGGTGTCTTCTTGAGGAGGCAACGGATCGGGAATCGTGAATGTGATAGTTAGCCATTGCTCGGCGTGCTTCCCGTTCCGCATTCTTAATCGCTTTCTCTGCGTTGATTTCGGCTTTGCGTTCTCGATAAGCTAATCTAGCTTCTTTGAAGACACCAAACAGTTGTTTGCTCTGATGTCGACGAGTATCGTAAGCAGTTGTTTTTTCTAGAGGGGTATATAGTAATGACTTACTGTGCTCACCACCTTCCCCGACTTGTCGAACACTGCTATGGTTTGTCCTATGGCAGCCATGTTGATGTACGTTTGCTTCTGCCAGGAACCGAGTGGATATTTCCAACAATAATATCACAAAAAAGATACCAGCTTCTGAAAATATAAATATTGCACGGCTTGAATTGAGAGTTTTATTCGAGAGGCTGGGGAGGATGCTGGAAGGTCGAAACGATTGGCGGTGTGGATGGATGACGGCGGTAGTGACAACTCACAGCATGGACCCAATACAGCCAAAGGACCGCAAATATGTAATGTATAAAGAGAGTGGATCGATTGCTGTGAAGCACCGCTTGTTAAATGTTGATACTCCGGGGATAGGATAGCAGTGAGGGGATATATGGGAGGAAGAGCGGGCTATCCAAGGGGCTCTCAATCACTGGTCAGGCCAAAAAGGGAGTGGATCTGGTTGCGATTTCATTTCAGAAGAAGAGAATTCCAGGGCTGCTAGGCTGGAGAGCAAGGGGCCTATATAACTAATCGATATATTTGTTGGCAGGCTGTGATTGTTGGGCGTCAATTTTGCGTGATGCCTGATATAGAGAGTCCGGAGCCAATAGTATTTATGTGTGGGGCCATCCCGTCGGCAACCATAGTTACCATATACGATAACGTAATCAACCACCTAACGCTCGTTTCCACCTAACGCTCGCCTTTGTAAATCAATTACAATCAACTTCAAATATTCATATCTCAATGAATATTTATTTAAAACTATTCTAAAAAACAGAACAATAATTCATAGATATATATTATATTATATTAAATTTCTATGAGAAAATAACATATAATTATTAATTTATTAAGCTTTTTAAAATACTATTTTAAAATAAAATACACAGTCTATATTTATAAATATATTTATAAATATAAATTATTTTCATATAAAAATTAAATATCTTATAGATTATATATATTTTTAATAAAATATAAAATTTTATCTTGAAATTCTTATTTATTATTGATTTATTTAAAATTTTATATAAAATCTTATATTTTAAAATATTATTTTTATAATAACTATGTATTATTTATACTTTAAAATTGTAATTTAAATAAATTATTATATTAAATTATTTAAATATATTTATATTTAATAAATTATTTTTCAAAATTTAAAATTTCAAGAGTTTTCAATATTTTACTTGTAATTTATAAAAAAAATTATAATAAAAAAATAAAAAAATTCTTAAAAATTAAAATATAGAATTCTTATATAAAATAATTTAATATTTATTAAATTATAATATATTTATATAAGAATTATTATTTTCAATAATATATAATACATATTTCTTAATTTATAATAAAATATTATATATTTTATTATACTGTATTTTATTTTCTAATTGAATCTATATTTTAATCAATTTTAACTATATTATAATAATTTTAAATTATATTATACTATAAGTCTTGATATTTATAGATTACAACTTAAAAAATTAAAATAATGAATATTTATTGAGATATTAACATTTAAAGTTGATTGTAATTGATTTACAAAGGCGAGCGTTAGGTGGAAACAAGCGTTAGATGGTTGATTACGTTACTCTAAAAGAATTGCGCCCGCAAAAAGACAGCTTGACAGTGCCACAAATCTTGGCAGAAATTCACACTGTATTTTATACTGAATATTCAGCTCTTGATTATTCCTTGTTTTCACTGCCATTCAACATGAAATCTGCCACTCTTTTAACATGTAATCTGCATGCCAATCTGCCCGCCAATCTGCCTCTTTTTAATGTGTAATCTGCCTGCCAATCTGCCTGCCAATCTGTCACTCTGCAGAGTCAGATGAGTATTCTATTTTTTCATCTGTCTGTGTCATCTTTCTTCTCTATACTCATTGCCAGCTTCTAACTCTATAATCTTTTCAATATATACAGAGATTCACTCAATTCATATCTGTATCTTCTCTTGTGACAGATTCTTTTATATCTACTCTTATACTCTAACTGCTTCTGTGCAGTTTTTAGAAGCTTCTTTTTTTATTATTCTATACTTTATTCAAGATCAAGCTGTCTCAATTATGTTGAAATCAGATGAATTCTCACATCAAAACATCTGTTGAGTTTTATGAATGTTATACATATAATATTAAATATAATAATTGTGTGAAAAGGTTTTATTCTCTTATACAATAGTGTGGCGGGCTGCGCCTGATCAATTATATAGACTATTTCATTACACTTCATAGATTCCTGCTGAAAGCTCCGATTCTCAGTCACTGATTCTTAGCTGAAAAATCAACAGAATTTCTATTCTTCTGTCTCAAAGCTTCACTGTATATACATATAATTTCTATTCTTCCGCTTCAAAGCTTTATTATATACATGTATAAATATTCACTCTGATCATTAATTCCTGCACTTTCTCTTTTTTTTCTTCTCTATCATTTTTCACTTGTGTATTATAAGACCTATATATATCAAATCAATCTATTCAGTGTAGATCTCTTATACTTGAAAAATGTTCTTCATCTTCTTATTAGAAATGATTACTTATTAAGAAGATATCTGAATGCATAACAATATATAAGAAATAGAGAAATAAACAATCAGTTAAGCAGACACTAAGTCTCTAAATAGAAGCTTACTTATCAGTCACTCTGACTCTGTAATAAGATCTTATAAGAGAATGTCAGTAAAAGATCTGAGAGTTCTAATATCTTAGATGTATAAGATATTTATACAATTACACTTCTTCTGATTTTATATATCTGATAAATGATATAGCTATATCTACTGATAACATGAGAGAACTCTTAAATACAAGTATAGACACAGTATTATAGTAACTCTGAGTAATGTTGAAATTACAACAGTAACAGATAGCTGATATATATGTAACTCAACAATGTCAATATAAAGAAATTCAATGATTATCTCAACTAGAAACCTCTGTACAGACAATTTCAACACTGACTGAATCAGATATGAATATAATATAAGTACTGAAGAAATATTTAAATACTCTTATATATTTTAATACTTCTGATCTCACTCTCTATTCATTATAAAGATTGAAAATGCTTATGAAACTAAGTGTAGATGAAGATGTCATCAGTCTGTTAACTAATCAAGATTGATATATTAATAGTCAATTAAAAGATTACATGAAACAGAAGTTTCATTTATAAATAAAGATATGTGAATCAGTGTTATATACATCTGATAATATTATTAGATATCTTGATATTCTGTTCAGAGACACTGCTATGCAGTAGAAAGCATTAGATTAGTTATAGAGTATTTATAGACTGACTGTGTAACCGTGTCTGAGATCAGAACCAGATTTTTTGATAGTCTCATTATCAATTCAACTAATCTCATTACACAGTTTTAACATTAGATAGTAGTCTCATACTGTTTCAGTGAGACATACTGTCTACTCTTATCACATTTTTCAAATGAGACTATGATTTTCACTTCTCAATTTAAATTATTTTTATTGCTTTAAATAACTTTAAATCTCATTTAAGTGTTATCAAAAAGTGTTACTTTTTAAAAAATTAAAAATAGTTTAAAAAAAACCTTAAAATGTCTAAAAATAGTAACTTTATACTAAGAATGAGACTAAATGAGATCAAATGAGACCACTTTCTCATTTTTTTCAAGTCATGATTTCATTTTACAATCTCATATATAGTCACTTTGCATGCTTTTTTAATGACTAGTCCCAGCGGGATTCACATCAAGAAATGTATGAGATCAGATCAAATGAAATTAAACATGAAATTCATGATTCTGGCAGTCAGTCTAAGTATTTGACAGAGAAATACTTCTCTTATAACATTTATTTGTGACTTCAACATCAAGATTCTAGAAGCAGGTGATTAATCTTGAGAGAATTGAATAAAGATTAGCATGCTTAAGAAGATACTAACTTTCAAACTTCTACAGACTCTTATAAATGTAGATAAAGATCAGACTTATAAAGACTTCTACATACAACTTCAGACATTAAATGATCATCTTATCAAGCTTAATAGTATATAGAATAGCAGTAGAAGATGTTACATCTTAGTCACTTATATATCTGTATCAAAGAATAATAATAATAATACAGATATTATGAATTGAGTAGACTTAAATATCTATGTATAAATAAGAATCTCTGTTATCTGAACAAGCTTCTAAGTCTCTGAGATTGCTTCTGAAGAAGTCACTGATTAATGTTAATAAGAAATATACATCAATTGTAACTGATCAGAATACATTACTTTCAACTACTAATTAATCTATATATCTTCTTATTCTAAGAAAGAATTGATGTCAGTTCATGTCAATTATGTCACATTGAAGAAGAATTCAGATGATAACTATAAGAATACTCTGATAAAACAGGAAAAAGATTAGCTTCTCTTCAAATTTACAAGCAGAAGCTTGAAGAGGTCAGATGATAATAATTTAAAGAGAAAATAATAATAAATACAATTCTTATATCTACTGTAATAGATAACATGTATAATATAAAAGCCATGATAGACAGTGATCTATGCTATTATATAATGATTAAATCTTCAGTTATAAGATGTTATAATCTTCAGTGTATTCTCTTATTAAAACTCTGACTTCTTGCAGAATTTAATAACTTAAAAGACATTTGCATCTGTTATATAATGAAACTAAACATAGATATTGAAGAATATTAACATGAAGATATCTATGTATATGAAGTTAATAATCTTTACTATAATCTTATGCTAGAACTTGTCTGACTATCTGAATAAGACATCTTATTAAATACTTAAAACAGGAGTTTAATATTCTCTAACAATAATAGAATTTATGAAGATGATATTCATAAGACTATAAATCTAACACAGATCTCTGTCAATACTTATGAAATACTCTGAAAAAGAAGTCACTGACAAGATTGTTGACAAAGTTGCTGATAGTAGAATTATATAACAATTTATTTCATCAGTCTGACTAATATTAAAAAAGCTCTAGAAAAGTTATTCTGTATTACAATAACAGATTCTTATACAAAACTCTCTTAATAATATTATGAATATCTAGATGTAAGAATAAGTGCTCGCAGGTGATTATTCAGATGTTTGCAGCTTGACATGATATGTACTGTTAACTACTAGAAGTATTCACAGTAGAAAGATAAAATGTAGAGATTAAATGTATAATAGCATTCAAGCTGAGTTACAAATAGTATTCATGAACTTCAGTCTATATAGTTGTGTGTAGTCAAGGGCCGCTAATTCTATTGATTACATGAGAGATAGAAATAAAGGTAAAAAATTCACAAGAAGCAGGATTTCTTACATACTCTTCTCTCTTTAAGACTTCATCTGTGAAGCCTTTCACTGAGTGACTTCATAGAATCAGCTCAGCATTGCAGTAATACTCACTAAAAATCCTTCACATCTATAAAAAAAAATCTCAGTGAGAAAAAATCTCAGTGAGAAAAAATCTCTTATTATTATAAAGAGAAAAGAGTCTGTCACTCAGTTTCTTATTCTGTGAGATTCTTTATAATCTACAGATTCTTCTCTGACTATCACACAGATTCATCTCACATCTTTTATATAGAAGAGTTCTGATTGACTCTTAATCATTTTCACAAGATTCTTGTGTGATCATTATA